GGCCAGCCACGCCCTTGAATAAAAGGCTTATAACGGTGCTTCCTGCACTTTTGCTGGCCTACACTGGGTCCAGATATGCTCAGCTTCAACAATGGCAACAGCAAGTCACGCCTTCAAGCATTCTCGGCGGAATCCGTGGCCGAACCATGTCGACCCTCTACAATGATCTCCGGCTGCACATTGACTGTGCCAAGCTCGACAATCAGCCTCTCGTCGGGGTCAAGTTAGATAAGGCTAAAGCGTTCGACCGCATCGTACCCACATTTGCGGGGGTTCTCTTCCTCGCTTTTGGTCTCCCGATGGGGTTCGTTAATGTCTTTTTAAAGATCTACCAGGGGTTGCATAGACACCTCTCTTACCGCCGGTGGATTGCACCGATTGCCACCCGGCCTGCAAACGGGGTTGCACAGGGGTGCTCTTTGTCACTCCTGGCAATGAATGCCTGTAACAAGGTGTGGTGCCACCTACTCGAACATATCCCAGAGGTTTTTGCACGAGCATTTATCGACGATGCCTATTTGTGGGCTAGGCTTGAGCACAGTCACCTCCTTCACCGTGCACTCGAGGTCACAGCTGTCTGGGACAAGCTTGTCGGCCAGAAGTTGAATGCGGCTAAATCGTCCATGTGGTCCACTACACCGCAAGGCCGCAGTGAGACTCGAGCTGCCTTTCCCGATTATCCAGTTAAACTGGAGATTGAAGTGCTTGGGACCAAGATGTATATTTCCGAGCGCCACTCCTTTTGTTTTGAGGATTCTCGGTTGAAGAAAGTGCTTGAAGACATTGACAATTAACATTGCAGCCTTGCCTGTGCCACATCACACCCGAGTGCATCTCATCGGTAGCAAAGTTATACCCCAGATTGCTTTTGGGTCGCATATTTCCAAGATCCCCCAAAAGGCCATCAATTCCATCCAAAATGCCGTGGCCAGAGCCTTGTGGGTCGGACGACCGAAATGGAGAGCGAAGCACCTCCTTCAAGCTGTTCTTTCCGCTCCACATCGAACAGACCCCAAGTTTGCTTGTGCTTTTAATACTGTTCTTGAAGTTATCCGCATGTGTCATATGCTTCCGCACACAGTGCCCATGCTGCAGAGAACGTGGCAGCATACACATGGTACACACTCGTTAGCTGAGCAGTTGCTTCACGCTGCAAACACTTTAGGTATCCAGATAAATGAGCAGCTTGCTGTTTCGTTCGGCAACTCACAGCCAGTCCCCATTGTTTCGCTGAGTGCTAAGGATGCCACGAAAGTTTTGGCCAACATTGCGAGGAATGCTTGCTATATTGCTACGGGTGGCTCCAAGAGAAAGGACTACCTGCGGACGCAGGGCATCTTCGACCACCAGCAAACTACTGCACTTCTTCGGAAATTGCCGGTTGGGAAATACAATGGAGAGGTCCCCTCACGGCACCGGCTTGAATCTAATTTGGTTGGTTGTACATTGACAAATGACAGGCTTGCTGGCTCGGGCTGGTCAGATACAGCCACATGCCGTTTCTGTCAGAATGCCAAAGAGTCCATGTTCCACCTTGTGCAGGAGTGCACGACTTTGCATGCGTTGATTGGGCCCCCTGCTGGTGATGAGTTGGGAAAGAATTTCCATTTGCTTGGGCATGTCGAGCATCCCTTGTTTATTGCAAAACGACGGCTGCAATTCGCCCATGCTTGTGATATTCCAGTAGCAAGTGACTTTGATGCAACAGATGTCGCCATTTGTGGACTGACGGCTCCTTGGTGCATGGCAACAAGTTCTGGCTTATGACTGCCACTTTCGCAATTGTTGATGACTCCAGGCAGGTAGTCAAGCAGGGTTTGATTTCGCATTGGGCCCTTTCCGCATACATGGCTGAGCTCTGGGCTGTCCTGTGGGCGTGTATTACTGCGTCCACGTGTGTACACATCTACACGGACTGCTGGTCGGTTGCAAAGAATATCACCTCCATTTGTTCTGGTGGAACCATTGACCCGAACTGGAGGTGTGCTGAGTGGTGGCGAACATTTTCACGCGTTCTTGATCAACGGCTCCAGCATTGTTCGCAACCTTTCCAGGTTACCTAGATACCTGCTCATCGGCTTGAGCGTGTGCCCGATGGTTTGTTGACGGAGGACCTTGCAAGAGCTGCGGGTTCCACGGTTGAGCGCATCTTAAACAATAGACTTTGTGATAGAACGGCTAAGACACTTGCACAGAAACTTTCACCTGTCCGTCCGGACATACAAGATGCTGCAGAACTTGCCATTTGCAAGCACCAGGAATGGTTGATTCGCTTGCATAGCATGCTACCCACACATGAAGCTTGTCAATCTCAAGATCACATCGCCTCCGATCTGCCCGAATTGATTACAAAGGAAGCTTGTCAGGCTCGTTTCAGTCACTGGCCTTGGGGCATTTCCAAGCGTTTGTACCCATGGAGGCCAAAGATACCCAGAAATTGCCCACCACCAGCCCAATGGAAGGGACACAAAGATGACTGGGCGGAAGTATGCCGATTCCTTTCCGGCTTGCACTGGCGGATCGATGATACAGAAAGTTTCAGCTTTTGTGAATTGGCTGTCGCTTTTCACAACTCAGGCTTCAAGGTTGTTGGAGATGTACAGTGCACGACCTTTTATGATGTGTACAAGGTCAACCGCGCTGCGATGTTGGTCCTTTCCAAGCTTGATCATGTGCAAGCTTTTGCTGGTGATTTCAATTCCACCAAGCCGAGATCGTGTGGTAGGGTGTTGCCCCAAGGGTGCATTGTAGGGGCTTCACCCTATCATTCCGACGATTGCCGGCTTCTGATCGCACGTGCTTTCGCCAAAGGCGCTGGCCGTGAGATCGAATCATGGAGGATCCCTGTTTGCGATTTTTGAATGCACGTTCTTTGGGGACTTTTCTAGTTGCTTCGACCTGCGGCCGGGCAACACGCTCGTCTGCGATTCCCGTGGACTCCGAGCGCGCGTGATCGTATTGCATTCATTGTTATATATATATATATCACTCTTGGAACCTGAGTGGCATGTGTTTTGGATGCCCCATCACCCACATATTTTTGCAATTTCCTTCCCAAGCAAGGGGTCACCTGGGTTGCAGGTGTACATTATATATATATATATATATTTGTATATATACTTGGCAACCCCAATACACACACACTCACCTTTCAGTAGATTTTGACGGCATTTGCAGTCTCTTCTTACGTTTTTAGATTATTTCCAAAATTGACAACTGTATTGTAATCTGGCGCTTAGATAATTTTGGAGACCACAAGCCTTGCAAGGTTTGTGGCCTCCAAAATTATCTAAGTACAAAATATTGATTGTTTGACCTAAGTTCAAATACCAGTCGTTTGCTACCGCAGCTTTGCTGCTAAAGCTCTACGCCCTTTTTGTTGCTTGTACTTGTTCGCTGCTAGACCTGTCATCTGGGGTGAATGGTTATGGAGAGGCGCTGCTCCGCAAACGCCGTCAGAAACCTCCGTGCGGACGAACAACAAGCGCAGACCAACTGCTGAAATTAAAAGCGCAAAGTGGGCGAAGGCATTCCAGTCATTCATCCTTCACCCGCCCTTTAACAAGGACTGAATGTATTCAGCCACTAACACAGCGCAAAACAAACTGAAGAGGCAAGAAAGCATCCATGGCAGCTGGAGCGATGAATGAAGCCGACCAGGTCCTCACGACTTGGCTAAACGGGGCAGCGCCAAGACCCAGCTGCTCATGCACCTTCGCGGTCGCCAACCACCCCACAATGAAGAAACAGAGCTCCTCGTCCTCTTCGCCCAGCTCTTTCTCCAGCTCGAAAGCCAAAGCAAGACAGCAATGAGGACATTGCCAATTTGGAAGAAACCATTCAGAACCACCGAGCAGTCAAAGACAATGCAGCTCCGCCCACGCTGAAGCAGGCTTAGAGCAGTAACATCGCTTGCAGCGGACGAGCGAGATCAAAAAGAGTATTCAGAGACCCTGCAAGACCTTGCAGTGAAGTATTTGGGGCAAGTGGATGAAATAAGGCTGCAGACTGAGCACATGCACTTGCAGTCTACACAGCCAGTCTCTTCTTCAGACCGGAAAGACCAGACCAAGTAAAAAAGGTCATTGCCGTCGGAGGCTAACGTCGCCAAGATCGTCCTGGTTTCTACCGACATGGGAAGAATCTGTCTGGCCCAGGTGTTCACGGGGAACCCTTTCCAAACCTATACCAAGCCTCGCACCTACATCAAAACACACCATCATTATCCAGTCATATCCAGTCTTTTGCGACGCATCTGGATCGAGCTCTACGTCCTTGCAGGATCAAAGCTCTCTTCTCCTTCTCATTTGGACAACGCCCCGCAACGGCTATACATTGTTTTCTGCGCGTCAACCACACGAGCATTGAGGACACGGAGGATAGGTGGAAGAAAAGTGAATGATCCGATTCGGCAATGGCTCTACTTGGGTCAATGTGGAAGCTGGCGGGACCACTTTCGACAAGAAGGACTTGAGTGGCTGTCCAAACAATTGGGACCCGTGCAAGCCTGTTGTGTCGGAACAATGGGACGGGCTTTTTCAAAGACGTAAACTTTGCAATTGCAACATTCTTATGCTATGGAAAAGTACCTGACAACTACGCCCAATGTCTTGCACAATGTCCATCTGGTCCGGTGTTTCAACTCACTTGTGTGCTTTCGATGTCATCAGCAGATGCTTCAACTCACTTGTATGGTTTCAATGTCATTTGCTGCCTGCACTTTTGCTACGGTAGGTGGGTCCCTGGGGAGTGTAGCATATATACAAACATACATACATACATACATACAGACAGACAGACAGACAGACAGACAGACAGACAGACAGACAGACAGACA